AGGATCGTAGGTAGTTAACAGTCTGGGTGAATTATCTCAATACAGCCTTAGACTAAGAACTGTCCTGGGAAACAGCTGCGGGTAATACCTGAGCCTTGGGATTAGTTCAGAGACCCGTTAGAGGAGAAGGCTGCGGTGAGGGCGTGGCACGTGTCCTGTGTTTAACTCACTCGGGTAAGCAAAACAAGTTCAAAAACACACTTAGTACAGCTGTTTTCTACTGTTGGATAGTGCTTAAAACACCTTTTATCTTTCAATACTTCTAAGATTTTATTGGTGTATTTGGCTCTGCTGGCTTTGCTAGCTCTTGCTAGTATTAGTTTAGCATGGCTGCTGCTTCTCTCCCTGCTTCCTCTGTTCTCACTTGTTCCATGTGTCAGATGTTTAGCTACTCCTCTGCTTCCTTTAGTGGTAATGATACATGTAACAAATGTAGTCTTATGGTAGCTTTGGAGGAGAGGCTGGAGTGCTAAGGCTAAGCCCCCAGTTCACCACCATCCCATTCACGTTGCTAATCGATTTTCCTCGCTCAGTGACACACCTGCTGAGAAACAGACCCTGGTTATTGGAAGCTCCATAGTCCGAAACGTGGCTTTAGGGACTCCAGCGGCCATAGTTAAATGCATTCGGGGGACCAGAGCGGGCGACATAGAATCATATTTGGAACTGCTAACTAAGGCTAAGGCTAAATACAGTAAGATTGTTATTCAAGTCGGCAGTAATGACACCCGGTTATGCTAATCGGTGGTCACTAAAATTAATGTTGCTTCGGTGTGTGACTTTGCTAAAACCATGTTGGACTCTGTAGTTTTCTCTGGCCCCCTCCCCAACCTGACCAGCGATGACATGTTTAGCCATATGTCGTCGTTTAACCGCTGGGTTCCAGGTGGTGTTCTGACAACGATGTGGGCTACATAGATAACTGGAGTTCTTTCTGGGGAAAACCTGGTCTGATGCGGAGAGATGGCATCCATCCCACTTTGGACGGAGCCGCTCTTCTTTCTAGAAATATGGCTGATTTTGTTTATCCCCCAAATTATTGACAACCCAGGGTCCAGTCCAGGAAGCAGAGTTGTAGTCCTCCACCCCTCTCTGCTGCTTCTCCTCTGTTACCCACCCACACCCCCATTGAAACAGTGTCAACTCGCCCACGGCTCAAATTAAATAAACCAAAAATCAGCTCTAAAAATATAAACCATAAAAATCTGATTAAAATAAACACAGTTACTTTACCAGAGCAAAATCATATAATCATTAAATGTGGATTATTGAACATCAGATCTCTTTCCTCTAAATCCCTGTTAGTTAATGAACTGATAACTGATCATCATATTGATTTATTGTGTCTGACAGAAACTTGGCTACAACAGGAGGATTTTGTTAGTATAAATGAATCCACTCCTGTTAATTGTTTAAATTTTCATGTTCCTAGAACAAGTGGCCGAGGTGGAGGAGTAGCTTCTATTTTTCAGTCAGGATTATTGATTAATGCCAAACCAGTTATTAGTTATGATTCATTTGAATCACTGTCCCTCAGTCTTTCTCATCCAAAATGGAAATCAGAAAAGCCACTTTTACTAGTTGTTATATATCGTCCACCAGGAGCTTACTCTCAGTTTTTGTCTGAGTTCTCAGAATTATTAACTGACTTTTTATTAAATACTGATAAAACCATCATAATGGGTGATTTCAATATTCATGTAGATGTTGAAAGTGATAGTTTAAGCATAGCCTTTAATAATTTAATAGACTCATTTAGTTTTACCCAAAACGTCCGCACATCTACTCATTCTTATCATCACACTCTTGATTTAGTTCTGACCTATGGTATAGAGATTAAGGACTTGGTAATAGTTCTTCAAAATCCTATTCTGTCCGACCATTTTTTAATAACCTTTGAGTTTACAATAAATGACTACACAGTCACTGAGAGTAAATTTCATCTCAGCAGGTTCTTATCAGAAAATGCTGTAACCAAATTTAAACAATTTCTTCCATCATTGTTTTCCTCTGTCTTGCAGAGAAATGCATCAGAGAACAGAGACTTAGATCATCTAGTTGATCATCTTACAACTTCAATGCAAACTTCACTTGATAAAATTGCTCCACTGAAAAAGAAAGTAATCAATCAGAGGAAACTGGCTCCTTGGTTCAATTCTGAGTTACGTACTTTAAAGCAGGCATCTAGAAACCAGGAGAGAAAATGGCGCTCTACTAATGTTGAAGAATTTTATTTAACTTGGAAAGATAGTCTGCTAACATATAAAAAAGCTCTCCGTAAAGCTAGAACTTTATATTACTCATCTTTAATAGAGGAGAATAAAAATAACCCTAGGTTTCTGTTTAGTACTATTGCTAGACTAATTAAAAGTCCCATTTCTGTTGAACCATGTATCCCTACAACTATAAGTAGTGATGACTTCATGAGATTCTTTATAAATAAAATTATTTCAATTAGAGAGAAAATTCAAACCATCCTTCCTTCTACTATCTCTAGTCCCCTGTCAAATGAGACAACTTTAAAAATTTCACTAGAGCCTGATTTATGTTTGGACAGTTTTTGTCCTGTTGAGCTCTGAATTGTCAAAAATAATAACCTCATCCAAACCATCCACATGCCTGCTAGATCCCATCCCAACCAGACTGTTTAAAGAGGTATTTCCCCTAATTAATGTCCACATTTTGGATCTACTTAACTTGTCTTTAATGAATGGTTATGTACCACAGCGCTTTAAGGTTGCTGTAATTAAACCTTTACTTAAGAAGTCTGACCTTGATTCAGAAATTCTGGCCAACTATAGACCTATATCTAATCTAACTTTTATCTCAAAAATTCTAGAGAAAATAGTTGCAGGTCAGTTGTGTGAACATCTACAAAGAAATAATCTGTTTGAAGAGTTTCAGTCAGGGTTTAGAGCTCATCATAGCACAGAAACAGCACTAGTAAAAGTCACTAATGATATTCTCATGGCCTCAGACAATGGACTTGTGTCTATACTGGTCCTGTTAGACCTCAGTGCTGCATTTGATACAGTTGATCACAATATTTTACTACAGAGGCTTGAATATGATGTTGGGATTACAGGAACAGATCTAAAATGGTTTAAATCATATCTTTCTGATAGATTCCAGTTTGTAAATGTAAATAATAAATCTTCTTCATACACCAAAGTTAGTCATGGAGTTCCTCAGGGCTCAGTGCTTGGGCCAATACTCTTTACTTTATATATGCTTCCATTAGGTAAAGTTATTAAACAGCATGGGATAAATTTTCATTGTTATGCTGATGACACACAATTATATTTGTCCATTAAACCCAATGAATCCAATCAGCTACTTAGACTACAAACATGTCTTAAAGATATAAAAACCTGGATGACCCTTAATTTTCTCCTGTTGAACACAGACAAGACTGAGGTTTTGTTTTTTGGACCTGAGTTACGGGCTGTTCAGTCCCTTTACAAGCGGTGTGAGAGTTTTGTTTACATTTCTGGTAGTAAATCAGACCCATTCAGGGTGGGAGTTGGACTCCACCAGGGCTGCACGTTGTCACCGATTCTGTTCATAACTTTTATGGACAGAATTTCTCTATGCAGCCAAGGTACGGATGGTTTCCAGTTTGGTGGCCTCAGGATTCCATCTCTGCTCTTTGCAGATGATGTTGTCCTGTTGGCGTCATCGTGCTGTGATTTTCAGCTCTCACTGGAGCAGTTCGCAGCCGAGTGTGAAGTGGCTGGGATGGGAATCAGCACCTCCAAATCTGAAGCCATGATCCTCAACCGGAAAAGGGTGGATTGCTCTCTCCAGGTCGAGGGTGAGGTTCTGCCTCAAGTGGAGGAGTTCAAGTATCTCTGGGTTTTGTTCACGAGTGAGGGAAGATAGATTGGTGCAGCATCTGCAGTATTGCGGACTCTGTACCGGACCATTGTGGTGAAGAGAGAGCTGAGCTCTAAGGCAAAGCTCTCTGTTTACCGGTCGGTCTACAAAGTACGTTCCTACCCTCACCTATGGTCATGAGCTCTGGGTAGTGACCGAAAGAATGAGGTTGTGGATACAGGCAGTTGAAACAAGTTTTCTCCGCAGGGTAGCTGGACTCTCCATTAGTGACAGGGTGAGAAGTTCAGTTGTCCGGGAGAGACTTGGAGTAGAATTGCTGCTCCTCCATGTCAGAAGGAGCCAGTTGATGTGGTTCGGGCATCTGGTAAGGATGCCCCCTGGGCGCCTCTCTAGGGAGGTGCTTCGGGTATGTCCAACTGGTAGGAGACACCGGGGAAGATCCAGGACACGCTGGAGAGAATATGTCTCTCGGTTGGCCTGGGAACACCTTGGAGTCCACCCAGAAGAGTTGGAAGAGGTGGCTGTGAAAAAAAGATGTCTGGGCCTCCCTGCTCGAGCTGCTGCCCCCACGACCCAACTATGGAATAAGCGGAAGATGATGGATGGATGGAGCGATTGATCATTTTCCCTGATAAATTCTTCACATGAAGAATAACCTGCTCATTTTATGTTGTTTATTTAACCATACGGTCCACAAAATTTACATATTTGAATCCAGTGATGTTAATTTAAGCATGTATGTTTTAATAAAGGGGTTATAAGCTACGGTGTAATGTTAGAAATGTGTCTTTTCGTAATAACTCAGTAAATCTGGTAATGCTCAGATGTCCCAGCTTTTCACCAGCCTTGAATGCAGCATTACTCTTGTGAATCTGGAGCAGCAAGAGTCTCCAAAGTCACATTAACAGGCAAGTTGAGCCGTGCGCTCATGTCGACTGATTCGTCCACAGCAGGTGATTTGTGCACGTGTATTTAACCATTTTATGTGCAGAATATTCCTACTTGTGCAAACTGAAATTAGTACATTTGAAAAACTTTTCATGCTTTTGTGACTCTTGTGGCATGCTTGGGAGACTACTTTTGAAACTAATTTATCTTCATACACATTCTTCTATTGACAGTATGACACACACACACACACACACACACTTACACACACTGACCGTTGCAGGAACCCCATCAAGTTGTCGAGCTCCGTGATTGGACACCAGGATGCCACTGACCCCATAATTAACAGCCTTAGCAGCATCTTCACCTGCAGTGTTAAGAAACAAGTTTTAAATGTTGAATTAGTCACCAATATTTTACTATTTGAACATCTGTTACAAATTTTACAACTAAATGTCTGTGTGGCACTTCTAATGCAAGACCATCGTCCTACTGGTCTCACAAAATAAAACACCATCCCAACAGTTTTTTTTCTTCTTCTTCTGGCGGCTCCCTTCTTCAGGGTTGCCACAGCGAACTAAGTCGCAGGAAGACTTGGCTTTTTCTTAATTTTTTATTTTTTAATGCCGGATGGCCTTCCTGACACAACCACAGACCACAGAGCTACCACAGCCCTCTGTGTGGAGCAGAGAGCTGCCCTCGGGGGCGTCCGGGGAAGTGATGGTGGGGGTTGAGGGCCTTGTTCAAGGGCCCAGAGTGGAGCAAATGAGGATGGAGGCAGGTGTGACTGCTTCACTTATCCCACCCACATTTTGATGTTGTCGGTACCGGGAGTTGAACCAGCGATCTTCTGATCACAGACTCACCTTCTGTAACCTCTGCGCCATCACTCCCATCATCCCAACAGTAGCATTTAGAATCATACACTTACTGCCCACTGCACTGTTTTAACAATCAGCTCATGGGTCTTTCATAAGGCAGCAACTCAACGTCTTTATGCTTGTAGATGTGGTGAAGACGGGCTGAAGGTCAAATCAGACAGCAAAACAAAAGGAAAGTGATTTTAGTGATTTTGAACGTTCTTATTGGTCTGAATATTTGATCTGCTGCAATTATTACACACAATCATTTCTAAGGTTTACAGAAGATGGTCAGAGATCAGAGAATAATGGGCTGGAGATGGAAGCAGGGCAACAAGAGCTCAATCAATCATTTGTTTCTTCTGAGGTCTGAAGACACCGTGTCCGAACCCAAAATAACCTTTGGGGTGTGGTGGAACAGGAAACTGGCATCATGGATGTGCAATGGAGAAGGGAGTACTTACTACTGGTTTAAAATGGGGCACCAGATAGAAACGATTAATCAACAAGATTCAGATTACTTCATTTTACCCCTTTTGTTTATCAGATCTCAAAAGCCGAGGACTGAATCCATTTATTTCAGGGAAATTTCATTATTTTACCAAAAGTAGATATACCAATGTTGCCTTTTGACATTTCAATACAAATTTAAATAAATAAAATAAAATAAAATAAAAAATCAGCACAACAAAAATAAAATTAACACTAAAAATCTAAGAACAATATTCTGAGTTTTAGCATCAAGTGAATAAATGTGAAAAATTCAAACTTGTTTTAAAGTTTTATTCACTTAATGACAAAAAAAAAATCACTGTGATGCCACTTTAATTGGGGATATGTGACTTATCTGTGCTGCTGATTATCCATGCTGCTGATCTCTTGCCTTTATGCTGCTGTATTCATGCTCGGGCTGCTGTTTTAATGATTTACTTTATTAATGTTTAGCGTACATTGTAGAGGTTTAGCGTTGGTTTAGCGTATATCTTAGATCCTTGTATACTGTTTCTTTTAATACTTTACATTTTATGCTATTTTTGGGTGTAACTGGGACCTTCAGTACACTTTTTCGTTCCACCTCATGTACCACATGTGTTGCGAATGACAATAAAGATATTTGAACTTGACAAGTACAGCATTGACAGCAAGACTTAACCCTTTATCATCTGAAATAATACACTGATTATAACTTTATCTAAAATATAAACATCTTTTGAACAGGGTGTTTCAATTAGGATCTGTTTAGGTTTTACACATGCATGACTTTGGATCATGTAGACCAGGGCTATTCAACTAAATTGCTCAGGGGGCCACAGTTACTGAAAGCCAAGAGCTCAGGGGACAGACATCCAGCAGTTATTGTCATCAAATAAGTTTGTTTTATGGTTGAAAATCTAGTTTTATTTCAAAATGAACCTATTGGTGGGCCACATTTGGTCCCCAGGCCTCCAGTTGAATAGCCCTGATTTAGACCATTTTTTATAAAAGTTAACTTTGTAATTTAGGTCAGGAAACTGTTGATAATTCTGTCAGATTAGTTGAGGAAAGATCATATTAGAAGGGAGCATTTTGTAAATCAATTTGTGTCAGCCTAAAGTACGATTGCTCATCAGTATTATTGGTTTCCTCTTCAGGTGCCTTACTGGCTGTGTGGCCAGCTGTTTCTCCGTCTTTGGATGAATCCTGAGAGGTTGATGGGACCTCAGCAGAATGACAGTGACGAGGCAGGTTGGGGCCAACATCTGATGATGGTCAGCATTTCGTCCAAGGTCACCTGAGGTCGCTGTGATGGCTTTGATGGTTCTGGAGCATTCAGCAAAGAACTGGAGCTGCATCTATGAACAATCTATGCTTTCCTGATGGAAGATGGAAATCCAAGATGGAAATCAGCAATGAGTTTAGAGAAGCAAACTATTTAAGACAGCAGCCACGCTGAGCATCCCAGCAACTTTCATAAAAACAACAGATTGTGCAATGCTCTGAGAAATTACACAAAACCAACAAAAGAAGCCTGGCATTGAAGCCGGGGTGATGCAAAGTGTACACAACACTCTGTCCAGGGATGATGCACATGTGAATTAAGTTTCATTAAATTATCTTGAGCAGAGCAGGAGTTAAGCACGAGATCAGAAGAAGCTGACTGACAGATTCCATAATGCACCTGCCTTTTGATGGGCGTATATTTAAAACTGTACCTTTTTCTTGAACTACACAAGCTTCAGTTAGAAAGTTAAAGATTAAATTTAATGCCAATACAAATAAAAACAAACTGAAATCATTTGTTTAGAAAGGTGTCATTGTTTCAGGAAGTTTGGACCCATGAATGTTGACTTTTCTAAACGAAATGCTGACATAGCAAGCAAAATCTACTTCGAAAAGTTGGAAGACAATCACCAGAAACGCAAGGAACACAGCACGCCAAACTGGACGTAGGAATGGTGCTAACTGAGAGAGAGTGACAGGTGGCACAGAGGAACACAGAGGAACACAGAGGAACACAGAGGAACAC